GCCGCCTCTGTGCGGGGGACGGGACGGAGGGTGCCCGGAGGCCGCTCGCGTCGGGGGATCCTGATAGAGCCCCTGCAGAAGCGGCCAGTGTTTTGCGCTAAAATCAGCGGGAAGCAGCTCATTTGTGTTGGGTTTTTAATGCCCATCGGTTTCTGTGCAGCTGGATGTTAAGGGTTTAAGGAACGAGGATTGCTGGGGGTTTGTTTATCTTTTGGCGCTGCCCGGGAGCCGCCGCGGCGGCCCCGCTGCCCTCCACCACCCGGCTCCATCCCGGCCGCCCGGCCCGCGGCAGCAGGAGGCTTGGGGGGACGTGAGGGGGCCCAAGAGCAACATCAAGGTCCAGCCCCGACACCGGGGCTCAGAGCCGTCATTTATCCGCCCCGAGAGGCGGGAGGGCCCGCGGCTCAACCTGGTAACACTTTTTTAGGGAGTTTTTTCCTTTTTTTTTTTTTTTTTCCTTGAACAATTTCATTCCTCCTCTCTTCTTCTGTAGTTTTAAGGACAGAAATCTGTACAACCAGGGGAAATTCTGTACGAAAGGAATTCTGGCCTCTGTCGGCAGTGATCAGGATGACGGGGAAAACACATATATGGTTAAGTGGTATCTCCTATCACCATTAGAATAATGTGAAGCATTGCTTAAAAGGACCCTGTCAATTATACATATATATATACATATATATATATATAAGATTATATATATAGTTTTGCATTTTTTTTACTCTCTGTGGTTTGTAAGATCCTTTTAGATTCTTGGAAATAAAATTTCCTTCCCTATCTATTTTCTTCCTTTCATTTTTGCATTTCCCTGGAAAAGATAAGACTTGTCTTTCCCTGGGGTCCCTAATAGCTATCAGACCTAAAGCCGGAGTGAACACTACCTGTCTTAGCAGGGGTGGCACAAGGACAGTCCAGGCCGGGGATACCGGTGTTAATTTCCAGGTATAGTTTTGCTCCTCTTTGCTCCGGGTATCGTTTGTTTCTTTTTTTCAGGAAAGCCGAGGCCTTTGCAAGTTGGTTATTCTGTATATGGGGCAGTAGCCCGCAGTGCTGTCACCGTTGTCTGCGCCCGTCCTCGGTGGCCGGGCCCGCGGAGGACACGGGCCCCG